TCGGACAGTGTAAGATATGACAAAATAATAATTTATTAATTTTCAAGGATTCATGACTGAGGGGGCAAAACGAGGAGCTGATGCCAGGGGCTTAATAGAAGAGCAGATGTTTTGGGAATGATGAGGACAATGAATATACAAATATGCTTTACACAATTGATGTATGTATGGATTATGATAAAGAGTTGTATGAGCCTAATAAAATGATTAAAAACAAAACAAAACTAAGTCTTAAAGAAGTTGTATAACTGCTTACACTAGATTACAAGCTTTTGCCCTATCATTTGCACAGAGCATATTGATAAAATGGACAGCAGTATTCGAAGCAAAAACTATTAGAATCATGAAAATGCTGTCATTGTTTTATGGTTATGCATTGTTTTTTTTTTAGGTTCACAATATTCTTGCAGAAATGGTGATGGGGGGAATGGTATTGGAGACCAACATGAATGAGATTGTTACACAAATTGATGCACAAAATAAACTGGAGAAATCTGAGGTAAGAGTGAAAAGTGCTCTAGTTAGTGAGGATTTCAAACATGATCATAAATTATGCGTCATTTTGTAGCGTTCACTGTTTGTCCCTCAGCATCACCTTAAGGTACAGCCGATAGGCTTATTCTGTTGTAGGGAAATGGAGTTTACACATTTTAGTATGCAAAATGTTAGGAATTGGTAATGAATCTCTACTTGATAGTTTTGTGTATTCGTCTTTTAGGCACAGCCCTAATTTTCTTGGATAATAAGTATAAACCCAAATTTTTATTTCTTTTAAAAAAGTGTATTTGAATAATGAAGACCATATTTGCTGATAAAATGCTTTAGTCGATAATTATCATGGAAATCCTAGAAGTAATATTTTCAGGATATAGAAATTTAGTGTTACAAAGCTATTTCTGGAAAGATGACATTCGTATCAGGAAGTAATGCTATTATAGGTGCTTAGCTAGTAAGTACAACCTTGAAAACAGAATTTCACTGCTTCCATTTATATGGAAAGGTCATTGACAAAGTTAGTGAACTCACATTTTATACTCTTCATGACTTTTATTGAATTCTATATTTGGAAGATTTGGTTAATTTGATTATATTTGACTGTTATATTTTTGTGTTGTTATATTGAAACTTAAATTGGTAAATGACCCAACCAATTAGCGCTTAAGCATTGAGTTAAAACCCTTTAGAAGTGTAGAGACTGGGCCCTCCAGAATGGTTGAATATCAGTAACAGGTGCTGTAGCTGAGTCATTCAATTTCACATTATTTTGTTGGTTTTCTATTACCAAAGTACAGGTTTAGAAAGGTAGATAGTCTTAGTGTCCCATTCAATACTAGCTTGAGTATACTTCTCATCTTTGGAATTTATAGTCATAACTTAGATTGGAAGGATGAATCTTATATATAATGTTTAGTATAATTTAGTATAATGTTAGATGCAGGTATTTGGTTGTTTAAAGTAAATATTAATATAAAAGAGCCTAGTACTAAATAACATCAGCATTAACCTACTACAAGTGAGTTCTGAGGAATTTGTATCTTGCTGACATTTTAAAAGATCATTTTGAGCACATGCTAATACTCATTTGGGTTGAATGAAACACAGGATGATGAATAAATTAAAAATATAAGGCTTAGTAACAGTTAAAACTTTATATAAAAATTTCTCATTTAAAAAAAAATTAAATTAGTCCTGCATGTCTTCCATCTGTCATTCCTATTGACTCCTTAAAAGGAGACACGTGATGGTGAAGATAAACTTAAAATTATAACTTAAAAGGAAAAACTCTCTTCTCTCTCTATATGTGTATGTGTCTGTTGCCAGTGTTAAGTGGAGAAAACAAAATAGGCTAATAGAAAAACTTTTGTTTCAGGATACGGAAAAGGGTTCCAATATTTGTAATGTATTATTTTCATATCATTGCTTTGTAATGTGTTAAAGTAATAAAAGATTTATTATAAACCCTATGGTTTTTAAAGTTTTAAGATGAATAACTTAAATATATAAGCTTAACATAACTTTACACAAGTGTGTGGCTATAGGTTTTAAATGCTAAGGGACAAATTGTGACTTAACTTACTAATAATCAATGTAAAATGAATAGATGTGTGATAAAATTGTGAATTCTGTGAAATCATATGTAAAAATATTATTGTCTGGAATTTTGAAATTGCAAGGTACTAGCTCATTTCATCAGTGGTGTCCTTTTTATCTTTTCTTTTGCTCCTTAGTGTGATACATATATTGGCAAAGTTATGAAGGATCTATAGTAATTGCATAATATAGAGTCTACCTTTTGATTGTTCAATAAAAGTTTACTGAGGCAGTTTTTGTTACCTATAAAGAGCAGTAAGATGTGGAATTTACATTTGGATTACAGCAGTTATAAGAATACTATTAACTATATGAAAATTACTTTTTAAAAAGTTTTTTAAAAAATCCTTTCACATAAACAGTGCCATTAAAAGTAGTTTACAGTACTGATATATTACTCATCCATTGATCATCTTTATCTGCTCCCAGATTGGTTTTTCTTTTTGCCCTGTACAGAAAGTATAATTTGAATCCTTTTCATTTGAGATAAACCACAGCATTTTGCATTTATCACATTTTTGTGCATGTAATGTGCTAAAATTTAAGTTATTAAATAGGATTTTGAATCACAATACAGCAGGTAGGCTTGATCATATTTTAAGAAATCATGTTGAAATTATGCTCATTTTTTTAATTGAGCAGTTTATGTATATTTGAAGTATGCTTGGAAGGCCTTCAGCTTTATAGAACCCATTTAGTATGGGTTCCTTTAACTGGTTAGATCTAACAGATACATATGACTGCAGAATAATGCAAAATTATTTCAGAACAATATGCAAGGTTTAGTTAATCTGGTTCTTACAAAATTTCAGTTAAAATGTTATTATATAAGCCAAAACTTCCCATGAAAGGTCCAGAATGTAGTAGTTGATCATTATAACTTTAATTCATATAAGTATGTTTTAGGAACAGTATTTATGTTTTAAAAATCAACCTGGGTACCACTAAGGTACAATGTAATTTTTTTCAGAAATTACAGATTTTATTTTGTCGTAAAGATAGTAAATTGCTCATGATAGATGATAGCGAACCAGTTTCATTCCCAGTACATAGGTGAGCACAAGCAAAGCTCCCAGATTCTTAGTACGAGGAGAAACAAAGCTATGCACTGATGCATTTGTATCTGTTCTGCTTTGAAAGAAACAGTTGGACTCGAGGACGGAAAAGGGTTAAGCTTGGAGGTTGGTAGGGCTCAGGAAAGTGTAAGAAATACCCACAAATCTGCCAACTGAAAGGGCTCCTTTGCGGGGGGGCGGGGGGTAGAGTGGGGGTGTTGGGGAGACTTAATAGCTTTCATGTATTTTGTGTTATTTTTAAGATGGGTAAATGAGTCTGAACATAGTCACTACTTTTTAAAAGTCAGTCCTCTTTTTCCGAACCTCCTGATCTTTCTAGCTCTTTCCGTTCTTCTCTTTTACAGACCTTTATCTTTCAGTCTCCCAGACAGGACAGGTAGACAAGGTATTGCTGACTTTGAGAAAAAAAAAATGCTTTAACAAAGGGAAAGCAAAATGACGTCAAAGACAATTAATTATTTAGGCCAGACTCAAAAATTCTTTGTGTTAATGAACCCATATAGTCCCTGTAGCCTACTTTCCATTCTAGTTCCTCCTTGTAGTTTCCTCATCTTTTATTGGACTTGGTGTGTTTTACTAGTATATCATTGATGTCATGTTTGTTCTGTTTTGTCTGCCTGCATTGTAAATAAAAGTTTCATTTTTTAAAAACATTGTCATTTAACTGACAAATCACATTTGTAGAAGTGACGATTTACCTTGTGTATAATAACTTAAGAGTTTGAGCATTTTACAGCAGAGCCGATCTTAGCTCTCACAGGAATTTCCTTTTCTTTTTTCCCCCCTCAACTCTAAGTCAGGATTTTAACATAAAATTACCTGCTGAGTTTTGTAAGCTATGAATTAAAAGATTAAAAAGCTGAAACTTTACAGTGTGCATACAATGTAGCAAGTAGTGAAAACTTATAATAGTTGACATGTTAAAGGGTGTTGTTGTTTTTTTTTCTTCCCAAATGGTTTTCAGTTCCAAAGTCTTAACAGAATTATCTTTAAAGTTTTGACTAGCAGGTGCATATTACACTTGGCCAACAAATAATTTGAAATATTCTAAAACCTGAATTAAATGTTTTAAAACTTAAGTTAAATAAGTACATTGCCTCACATTTAAACATTTCATAATCAGCTCATTAAAAATATTGCATTGTAAACCCTAGGCATTTTTACACACTTAGCAAAGGGGCACTCATGGTGTAGTGGTAGAATTCTCACTTTAGATAGCCGAGGCCTCAGTTCCATTCCCGGCCCATGCACAGACAGCACTGCCATCACCTGTCACTGGAGGCGTCCCAAGTGGCTGTGCTGCTCAACAGCTTTCTCTGGAGCTTCCCTGCTAGTTCAGCGGAGGGAGAAAGTCCTGCTGATCTACTTCCGAAAACTCTTACTGAAAGCCTTCCAGATCACAACTGCCCCAACACACTGCTAATGAGGCCTTCATGAGTCGGGAGGCTGACTAAATGCTCAACAGCAGCTAACAAAATCTATAAACAAGGTAAATTCCCAATCTTAATCAGTGAAAATTAAGTGAGAATTTGGCATGGATTCTTTTAGCTACTAACTTACTGTCCTCTAGATGTATACGAGAAGCAGTAGTACAGAGGTGGTTTTATAATCTCTTTTCCTGATATGAGCTTATATGCCATATCATGAACCTGGAGTACCAATATTGGTACTTGCCTTTGACATAGAAAATACACTGTGGACTTATTATTCACCTCATTGATCCAAATCACTGCCCATTTCTATGGGCCAATCTTTATGTTGCACTTCTATTATCTAAAGTAACCCTGGTGGTGCTGCCAGATAAACTCACCTCAGTATCAGTGATTCAAACCCACTAGCCACTCCATGGGAGACAGATGAAGCTATCCCTATAAGTCTGACTCAACTGGACGGCGTGTTATTTGATTGGGGGAGTCTGTTGTTGAGAAAAAAAAAATCATCGTGTAGATATACTAACGTACATAACTGGAACTAATATTTGGCTTTAAAAAAATCAAATCTCTATTTTCAAAGAGTAGAAAATAAAAGCAGCAGATACAGAAGAAACTTCTGTGGTATGGTCAACTAACAAGTTGGTTCTGCCGTTCTACCAAGTTATTTTGTTCTTTTTGAAAAATGGCAAGGACTCATGGCATCACTTGTAATAAACAATACTGATTATATTAAATCCATGAGTTCCATTGATCTGCTGTATTTATATCATACAGGCAAGTCCTGTGTGTGAAATTAATGCTATTACAGAAGACAGTATACAAAAGATGACTAGTAATTTGAAAGATTTTTCCCTTTCAAGCATTCAAATGCTATAGCTCTTTCCCACTGGTTGATGATCATCAGCATTGCTAATCTGATAGTTGAAAATTTCAAGATCAAAGCACTGCCTTCAGAGTGAAAACCAAATCTGCCATATGCCCCAATCCCAGATTGAACGCTGTTCTGTCATACAGTCACACATTAAATATTGAAACTATTAGTATTGTTCAAAGACGAGCTTTGAGAGTCTGTCCTTATTTTGTTAATGATTTTGAGTCTGAAACCATTTAATACAGTGTTTATTAATGTTAGTGTTCTTAACACTTTGCTGTTAGATCAAAATTATGAATGCATATAGCAACTTCAGCAGGAGGGGGTGGGCAAAGGTTTTCAGTTAGTACAAATTATTTTAACTACCATCTTATATTTCAAGCTTGAAATAAGATAGTTTCAGATGGTAGAATGGTATTTTATCTAGACAAAATAATGACCTACATTATTACTTTTCTTTTCCCTTCAAGAAAGTTGATGCCTATTGCATGAACAAAAGGGGGGCAGCTCTCAGGTTTTTTGAAATATATTTTATTAATGCTGCTTTTTTTTAAGTTTGGTTTGCACATATTTTGTTTATTTTTGGGTCTGGCAATTTAAAAATGAAATAAAAACCAAATCATATCCATCCATTACTATCTTTGTGATTCAAGTGCTTGAAAGTTCCAAGAGTATGTCTGTAGAAGTCTTCTATCTGTTCGGCCTCATTTTGGTATACTTGCAGACTTCATTTTGTTTTCTTTCTCTTAACTGTGAATTCATTTCATCTCATGGGAGAGAAAACAGTCATTGCTTATAGACTGTACTGCATTCTTCCATCCAGTTCGCATCCTTACCTGCTTGGGAGTCACACATTTGTTTTCCTTAGTGCAGTCGCTGCAGTTTACCTGCCTGGTGGTGCTCGAAGATAACATAGTTGGAAACAAGTTATTTCTCCAGTAGGAACCATTGTTTAGTTCTGCAGTATGCCAACTCTGTAATCTGAAGTCTTTAGGACTATGTTGTTCTGTCAGGAGTAGCTTTTGCTTTGTTTTGTTTTAATTTGTACATAATACTAAGTCAGGTCAACATAATACCTATAAATTTGAGTTCTCAAAAAATTGTTAGTAGAACTTTCTTGTTGCTTTGAGTTTACCTTTCTGGGTGTAAAAAACCCCAAAAACAACCCCAAAACTAAAATTAAACCAAGGTAAAACTTTCTTTAAACTTCTATTAGTGAACTAATTTCCTCATGGCAAGTTACCTCATTTACATTTTAAACGTTAATGCAAATGTTTCAGTCTTCACTTCACTGCGACTGGAACTTCTTTTATAGCTGGATTGGTGTTGACTGCTTGAGTACTGCGGTCTTTTTTAAAGCCAGTATGAACATATGAGTATATATCATTGACAGCTCACTTAAGCATTTATTCTTCAACAGCTTTTCCTGTAGTTTTTTTGAGATTTTTATTCCTCTAGGATTCCTGATTTCTTAGAATGTTACTTCAACTAATTAAAGTACATATGACAGCTTTTAAAATTTCTTGGCATGTAAATTCATGACATACCTCACAAAAGTATTGAACATGCTTGAGAAATAATTTGTTTCTCTTAATTCATTCGCGTGTTCTAAATAGTTATCATTCTTTGCATGTCTATGGTTTGCTGCTTATGTTTCAAATTGTTATACTTAGAAACGTCTTTGGGTTTTGCATAGTAAGAACTTGGCACGTATATGTTACTTAAATAAATTGCTGTAATGATTTTATGTATTCTCATTAGCAGCCAACAGTCGACACTATTGGTCACAAAGACACAGCTTAATGTAATGAAACTTAACCAGATACATTTTCTGTTATCATTTGCTTAAATTCAGTTTAACTGTTCATGATATTTATTATTTATAAACATAAAGCATGGCATCCAGAAAGACACACACATACGTATACTGACCTTTTCTTTCTATCCAATCATTTCTTTCTCAATATTAAGTTAATGACTTTTAAAATATTTATGTTAACATATTTTATCAATACCTTCCAATGCATTTGTTACCCTGTTTAGAAATTCAGAAATAAAAATTGTGGTAAATTGGTCTTTTAGTTAGAAAAATCACCAAGTCCTTTTACTTGGAAAAATTAAAGTTCCAAGATATCTGTAAAGTAGTTTATATTCACTTGCCAGTTAATATACTTCCTCGTTAAAAGGGAGCCTATGAGGAGATACACTTGTTTAAGCTGGATTCTTTTCTTGATCATAAAGTATTCTAAATTTTGCATAGTTAGAAGTTGAAATGGTCAGATTAAAAACCCTTTTGAATGTGATACATGCAACACTAAATAATATTCAGTTGTATTTCCAACATCTTTTGGGGAGTGGGGGGAAGTAGGATATTAAGCCAAACTGCATTTCTTCAGGACGGTATAAATGAACAAGTCATTCAAATCTTCAATTCTACATAAAAAATAATTATCCCCCATTAAACTATAGAAATGGCATTCTTTAACCCTAAGTGCACATAATGGGTTATGGAGGTTTTCATCCATATCACCCTTACATTGCCTGCGTGGACCATATCTATTATTAATACCATTATACTGATTTTTCTATTACTTCCAATTCTGATTTGATAATTCACAGCTTTTATTTCATTGCTTAACAATGTTTGTATCCTTTATTCAGCAAATAGTTTACACTGGCCTATTTTGTATCATTCAAGATTTTTCTCAGGTAACAGATTTATTATTATTATTATTTTTAATTACTAAATGAGGTAGGGTTACATAGAGAAAACACTTAAATTATGAAAAGTGACTTTAAAACTAGTATTTTTTGATTACATGGAAAATGTGGAAGATTTGTTTTGCTACCTGTTTTGTGCAAATTGATGGCACTGGGCTCAGATGTGCTTGTTGACTTTGCTTTATTTTATACCCCAAATACAAACTGATGACATGATTGGTTTATAAATTAAACTATGAAGTATGAAAGCTGTTGATGTGGCAAATAAAGAAAAATGATATACATTTTCTTTTATACATTCTTTCAGTATTTACAAATTATCATTTTTCCTAGTTAGAAGAAAGCTAAGTATTACACAGGCTGGTACTTAGCAAAGAATTTGGAATTTATTTATTACTACCTCTTGCATGTATGCTTTTTGTCCTCCAAATTTGTTCATTGTAAACTGAGCACATGTTCTTGTATCTATATGATAAACTATTTTTAGTTTTTATATTTTTACTAATGCATTGATCCCTTTGTACTTTCATTTTAGGCAGAACTGTTCTTTTTACATTTAAGAGCCTGATATTTTGTACATGTCATGAAACTTTTCTAGATTTAGGAAATTTGGAAGAACCCCATGATTTTTAAAAGGACAGTTTTAAAATTTTTGTTATTTATTATTATTTTAGGGGGTTATCCCAGAATAAAGAAATTAAACAAGCAATATCTATTACTTTGTTTTTATTTCACAATACATATTGATAATGTCATTTTAAAAGCCCCCTCCAAAAAAATCTGTCATTTGCTTCCTACTTAGATCAAGATATAAGTGAATATATAGTTCTTGTCACTTTAATATTTTACATATTTAGTAATAAATGTTATTTTGCATATAAATCTTTACATTGTTAACATTGATCATTGCATGTGTTCACTATATTTTTTAACATGCCAAATGCTTTCTTTTTATAGATTAGTATTTCAAAGTAACCATCCCATATCAGTTCAAACTGTCATCTGGTCTCTAAGCTTATTGTGTGGACGTTTTTATCATCGTCCGCCGTTACAGATGTTCTGTGATGACTGTGCCTCAGTCGGACATTTTCTTTTCCTTTTATTTGCTTCTATCTACAGGCTGGCTTAGCAGGAGCTCCAGCCCGTGCGGTATCAGCTGTAAAGAATATGAATCTTCCTGAGATCCCAAGAAATATTAACATTGGTGACATCAGTATAAAAGTGCCAAACCTGCCCTCTTTTAAATAAAAAAATTAAAAGGCTACTCCCAGGTAAAATCCTGGGGGGAAAGTCATCCAAGTTTACCATGCAGTTGTTTACCAAAAATAGAGAAGAGTCTTAACTTTTGCTCTTGGATTTAAGTCAAGGTACTGTATAGAAGTTGTACAAAATCAGTATGTGAAATTCAATGTTGCTTTTCTTGCTCCCTGATTTTAAAGAAATTGAATAGTTTTTGTTGTTGATTTTCCTTTTCTAAACTGCATTCCTTTGCCCACCTAAAGGCATGCCTCTATGTATTGGCTATTACAGTATTTTGAAAAGTGTTTGAGATATTTCCCTAATTATGTACAACCCAAAATGTTGGTGTTTTGTATGGATCACAAGTACAGCATTCCTTAACTCCTTCTGCTATTCGTCATCATTGTTATTTAAAGAACTGAGTATGTATTGCATGAAAGCATTGTGACCTTTTCTCTTCGTTTAAATAAACTCCACGGTAACTGGACTATGAAGCACCTTTCTGTTTGCCTGATGTCGACTTTAGCAATAATTTTTTTATGCCCTTCTGATTCAACAAAGTAAATAAACGTATATTTTATCACTGTTACACATTTGTTAATGTTGATTTATTTAATTTCAACTTATTTTTAATAGTCAGAAACTCACTACCCTACTCCAAACTCAATTATTTTACAAATTAAAAGTAGTATAGGTCAAAGCATATAATTTCCCTCCATCTCCGGGGGGTATTGGTTCCAGGACACACAGCCACACACATACCCCACTCCCCAGGGATCAAACCCATGGATGTGCAAGTCCTTCATATAAAATGGTGTTATCTTTACATATTAACTCAGTACATCCTCCCATATATTTAAATTGTCTCTTAGATTTTTTTATAATACCTAATAAAATGTAAATACTGTGTAAGTAGTGCTTCCCACTCCTTCTTAGCCACAGGAGAATTGCTTTGACCATGTAATTGCTTTTAAGGAGCCATTTTTTTTCACAAGTGGTGTATGTACCCGACACAAGTAGTGACCGATAGAGATAAGAGGTGAACAAAGCTCGGGAAAAGAGTTCTGGAGAGAGACTGAGCACCTGTGTAGAGGGGGGAGGCTGCAGCAGATTTTACCTACACATCACTTCATTCTCGTGAATTGAAAGTAGTGCCTGGCTTGGCAAAATCAAGTTTTCCTTTCTGGAACCTTCCCCACCCCTGAATGTTTTCGATTTGCAGTTGACTGCAGTTTCAAGTGTGGAATCCAAAGATGTAGAGAGCTGACTATATTGTCTAGTGGAGTTTGGAGTGAGAAGTAAATCTTTTCAAAATATCTACAGCAAAACATGCAAAAGTGGAACCTGTGTAAGAAGGAAAATTGTTGGAGAAAGAAAACTCAGAAACATAGTGATAGTGACTGCATGCTGTCAAAGGTGGGAGACGTGGGAGACCCAGAAAGGCAGGCAGTTCAGTTGGATTCCAGCTACTGGAGGGTGCATTGTATTGAGGACTTGTAAAAACCTTTTACCAACAATATTGTGTTTGCTTTTTCCATCATTTTATTGTGGGTTCGCACAACTTATCATAATCCATACTTACATCCATTGTGTCAAGCACATTTGTACATTTGTTGCCCTCATCATTTGCTTTCTGCTTGAGCCCTCAACATTGTTTTAAGCATTTCTGCCCCAGCCCTTCATTCCTAGGTGATAAGAAGTCATGCCAACAAATACTTGTATTCATTTTTAACCCAAAAATACTCAGGGCTACTTTGGGCACAGTTCCATCCAAAAGGCAAAGCTAAACGTCCCGGTGAGCTTCCTCTTCCACTGAGAGCATGGCCTGCCTTCCAGGGCTACTTCCCACTTCTCGGATATTCTTCTTGAAATCCTCCTTGGATTTGTGGCCTACATGAAATTTATCCCATGAACTTGGGGATATAAGGCACAAGGTCACTTTATTTTTTCTAGATAAAATTCATCTGACTCTCCAGCCCATCCTTTTGAAGTGTTAGAGATCCAATCTGTTACTGTTAGAACTTGCATCATCTCAGAGATGTATAACAGCCCTAAAGGAAGGTTGTACAAGCAAAGCACCTGCAGAAGGTCCCCCTTGTCTTCAGACAGCCAGGAAATGCTTATGAAGTGCCTAGTGTGCCTGGTGAGTAAGGACCTCTCATGGTGCTTCCTATATGCAGTGCCACTTTCCCCTGTGTATTGTTGGGACACAAAATGGGAATTTTCAGTTTGGGTTTGGTTGCCAAAATTAGGAAAATGTCTGTGCCAGACTATATTTTATCCTCTAAAAGCATACAAACGAATTTCACCTACCATTACTTTCTATCAAATACAATGCCCAAACAAGAAATCTATCAATCACCTTCTTTCCTTTCTTCCCTTCCCCTTTTCTCTCCTTTTCTGTTATTTGCTGGCATGTTTCTAAATAAAGGGATATAGCAGAGAACCAACTAGATCAAATTTATATTGGAGCATAAACTCCAGTTGGGGATAAACAATAAATATATAGTATGTGTATGTCATATGGGGACAAATGTAACAGAAAAAAAAATAAAGCTGGTAGAAGGGATAGGCAGTGGAGGTGTGAACTGGACTGCTGATGTGTTCCATAGATTAGGTAGGAGAAGGTGTCTTTGATGCTGTGACATTTGAGCAAAGACCTTTAGCAAGGGTAAAGGAAATTCATTTGTAATGGACCATTTGTAATCCAGACCATTCTCCACTAAAGCTCTTCTGTTGGAAAAATCTGTATTATACACACAAAGCTTCCAGTCAATTTTTTAAGGCCTGTGCAAACCCAGATTACCAAACATTTTAAAAGAATTTATCATATGAAAAGTAAAGAAGCTGAGGTAATGCTGATTGTGGTGTTAGACGACATCAAGTCAGTTCTGACTCAAAGGACCCTCTGCACAACAGAGGGAAACAATGTCTGGTCTTGCTCTATCTTCACAATTGTAATTGAGCCCGTGGTTACAGCCACTTTGCCAATCCATCTCCTTTGACAATCTTCCTCTTTTTTCACTGACTTACTATACCAAGCATGATGTCCTGTTACAGGAACTGGTCTTTCCGCACGTTCTCTTACGCAGGCTCGTCAGGAAATGATAAATTGGTGGGAGTAACAAACACGATCGCTAGAAGTGCCATATTAAACAATCCACTGCACTACAATGACTGATTCCGTTTTACAGGAATGGGTTTGGTATGTTGCTTTTTATTCAAAGCAGAGCAGCCAGAACCAGGCTGTGATTTTTCAATTTTGTTTTCCCAATTCAATCACACCTTCCTTTCTTCCATTGTTCTCCTCCTTCCTTCTCTCCTTCCCATCCCCTCTTTTTTATCCCCTCCCTCCTTTTTCAACATTATGTTAGGCAGGGTTGACTAGGGAAATGCAGTGATACTCATCTATTTTATAATAAGGAACTTGATGTCAAGAAGCAACACTACATCAAGAAGGCACCCCAGCCCAGTCTGACTCAAGTCCATAGGTCCCTAAGTCCCTCTTCAAACATAGCCACATGCAATGACAGAATACAGGAAAGTCACAGGCTAGTAGGTACACGATTGTGTAGATCCATGGTTGGTGGAAACATGGCAGGGCACCAGCAACTCAGGGTGGCCACCACAATCCCAGCAGGCAGAGTGGCAGAGAGAGGGAGGTTCCCAGAATCTTCCTTATGAAAAGACAGCATCCCCCAAGGAAGTATCATCAGGCCGTGATCTGATAGACAAATTAGACTCATCTTGAAGTTGACAAAATCATTTACCACAAACACTAGTAAAATTTTATTTCTAACATTCCTAGTAACTTAGGTGAACGGAGGTTGCAGTGTATTGCCTTTATTCAATCTTGAAAAATGGTAAAGGCTTATATTCAGATAATGGTGATTTCATTTGTTTATACATATATATTTGATAATTTTCAAATTGTGAGGGATGGGATTGGCTCTTCATCTCCAAAGTTTGCCGATGGCTGTTCTGGCTAAAGTCGCTAACTCCCACCAGAAGATCTTTCTTTGCACGGGTCTTGTAAGAAGGTGAGGGATCTATTGAGTAATTTTGATCAAGAGTTCTCTGGAGTGCATGCCTGCTGTTGTATAAAATGAACCCTCTGCGAAGCAAAAGCAGCAAATCGTTTCACCAACCAGAGCCAGGAGAGGAGCATGTCTTCTGAGCCCGAAATCCTTCACAGTGAACCTCCTGGATTCAGAAGAGCATAAAAGGAGCAGCAGCAGAACCAGGAGCCAGACCATGGGGGCCAGAGTGACTTCCCAACCTACAGAGCAAATAAAGATCAGTGCTTTTGTGCAGGCTGGCTTGCAGAGTGGGGTGCCTCTGGGCACTTAAGTAGGGATCGGGGTTTGTTGGCCCATGGAGAACTAAGCTGAATTCCTTTGGATTGAGGCTCTATCAGAGTGGTAAGCCTTTTGTTAGCAGATTTAGCAACAATTTTATAACGTATACTGGTAAAACAACTCAATCCTGAACATTTCTCACTGGCATTACAACTTGTTAACTTCCTTAAACCCTTTACTTATGAATTTTGTCTACAAGTTCTGGGTAGTCATTACAGTGGCTATTAGAACCTGGAGATAAGTTATAGAACATTCATTAAGTCAGTATAGGATTAGTGCAGTGTGAGGAAACCATGAAACACATGTGGGCCTGGTAGGTATAGGGGAAGGGACCTGAAGAAAAGGAGGGGTGGCGGATGGGATAGAAAGAGTAATACCCAGACAGAGTGATTTTGGTGGAGGCACACAGCAAACACTTGACAACCCCAAACAAGGAAAAGAAGGATTAAAAAAAAAATAGCTCTGATCTACCTTTCAACCCTTCCACTCATCTCATGATGGTGCCACCATTGATGGGAACCAACCCCACACCAAAGAACCGGGGAGCCTTTGGATGTGGTATTGACAGGTCAGGTCCGCATTGCACAAAAATTATTAAACAAGGTGGGTCTGAAGGGAAAAATAGTACTGCATCTAATTTATCTTCAGAAATGTTTCTCTAAAACCCCAGCATGTGACAAAATAGTCCACACATACTATTGTCAGGTGCCATCAACTCCTCTCTGACTCAGCAACCCTATGTACGACAGAACTGAAAGCTGGCCCTGTGCCATCCTCACATAATTTTTGGCCTTTGTTGTGGTCCATCTCAAAAGGTTTTCCTCTTTTTCACCAAGCATGATGTTCTCCTCTAAGGACTTTTGATTCATATGAATCCTTTTGATTTACCTGGTCACCATTTATGTTGTTGAAAAAATATTTGTCGTCCTTGGTCTTGAAGATTGTATCTTGCAATCTCAAGCTTCATTTACATCACCAATGCTGTATTTTCCAACTACTGAGCCTCCTCCTTTGTTTACAACTTTCAAATTCTAATCATCTTATTTGCCTGTTCAATTTTCAGACTGAAGTAGTTTAGTAAATTTTTCAGTTTCTTCTCCAGCAGCTTTAGTGATTGGTGTATAAATTAGACTAATTGTATTAACTGTAATTCCTTGTACAAGTATAGATGTTATTCCTATGACAGCATTGTACTTCAAGATAAAACTTGATGATGACTGTGATGCTACTC